GGATCTGTCTCACCCTCCTCTCCGCCCTGGAGCTGGGATTTCTCCTCTCAGCATCCAGGGAAATATCCCTGACCTCCCAGTGGATGGCAGGGAATGGCTCAGACCTTCTCCCCCAGCTTTGATCCACCCTACACACCACAGGCTCAGGGGTCCCAAATGATTTTTCCACTGCTCAATGAGCAGGATAAGACAACTCTGGTGGTTTCGGCCCATTCCAGTGAAGGGAAATGGGTTTGGGCATCCAAAAGGAGCAGGATCCCGCTCATTTTGGGGTTGGTCCATTTGGGATTGCTCCATTTGGGCTGGTCCCCCAAAGGAGCAGGATCCTGGCCATTTTGGGGTTGATCCATTTGGGTTGGGCTCCCAAAGGAGAAGGATCCTGGTCCATTTGGGTTGGTCATTTTGGGGTTGGTCCATTTGGGTTGGATTCCCAAAAGTAGCAGCATCCTGCTAATTTTGGCTTGGTCATTTTGGGATTGGGCTCCCAAAGGAGCAGGATCCTTCTGGCCATTTTGGTTTGATCCATTTGGGTTGGACTCATCCTCGTCATCTTCTTCTTCTTCTTCTTCTTCTTCTTCTTCTTCTTCTTCTTCTTCTTCTTCTTCTTCTTCTTCTTCTTCTTCTTCTTCTTCTTCTTCTTCTTCTTCTTCTTCTTCTTCTTCTTCTTCTTCTTCTTCTTCTTCTTCTTCTTCTTCTTCTTCTTCTTCTTCTTCTTCTTCTTCTTCTTCTTCTTCTTCTCCATGAGTTTAGGAGGTATTATGTAATTAGATTAAAAAGTCTGGCATTACAGGCCACAGGTAGTTAGTAATTGGGTCAAAAGTAAAAATAATTTAGGTGTCATTTCTTAATTAAACAGTTTATCCTTAAAAGGCCTTGTAGAGAGAGAAATACTGCTCCATTTTTAGTTTGTTAGAGTGATGCAGAAGTCACAGTTTGTAAGTCTGTAATGTAAATAAGAGCAACAAAACATCAAAACATCTGAGTCCAAATGAGAAATACCATCTCACGCATTTAATCCTCGATAAAAAAAAGAAGCAAAAAAGGAAAAACTCCACAGAAAAAGACCCTCTGAGATCATCCTGGGATGAAACAGAGCTGCAGGGAGTTTTGTGCCTTTGTTTCCTGCTTTGCACATGGATTGTGCTGCTGTTTTCCTGGAAAAACTCAGGGTTTTTTACAGCTTTCCCAGGAGCTCTGGCAGCCTTGTCTCTAAAACTCTCAGGGAGGATCTGTCTCACCCTCCTCTCCGCCCTGGAGCTGGGATTTCTCCTCTCAGCATCCAGGGAAATATCCCTGACCTCCCAGTGGATGGCAGGGAATGGCTCAGACCTTCTCCCCCAGCTTTGATCCACCCTACACACCACAGGCTCAGGGGTCCCAAATGATTTTTCCACTGCTCAATGAGCAGGATAAGACAACTCTGGTGGTTTCGGCCCATTCCAGTGAAGGGAAATGGGTTTGGGCATCCAAAAGGAGCAGGATCCCGCTCATTTTGGGGTTGGTCCATTTGGGATTGCTCCATTTGGGCTGGTCCCCCAAAGGAGCAGGATCCTGGCCATGTTGGGGTTGGTCCATTTGGGTTGGGCTCCCAAAGGAGAAGGATCCTGGCCATTTTGGGGTTGATCCATTTGGGTTGGATTCCCAAAAGGAGCAGCATCCTGCTAATTTTGGCTTGGTCATTTTGGGTTGGGCTCCCAAAGGAGCAGGATCCTCCTGGCCATTTTGGAGTTGATCCATTTAGGTTGGGCTCCCAAAAGGAGTAAGATCCTGCTCATTTTGGGGTTGGTCATTTTGGGACTGGGCTCCCAAAGGAGCAGGATCCTTCTGGCCATTTTGGTTTGATCCATTTGGGTTGGACTCATCCTCGTCACTTTGGGTTCATCCATTTGGGTTGGGCTCCCAAAGCAGCAGGATCCTGGTCCATTTGGGGTTGCTCCATTTGGGATTGGTCCATTTGGGTTGGATTCCCAAAAGGAGCAGGATCCTGGTCCATTTGGGGTTGCTCCATTTGGGTTGGTCATTTTGGGGTTGGGCTCCCAAAGCAGCAGCATCCTGGTCCATTTGGGGTTGCTCCATTTGAGTTGGTCATTTTGGGGTTGGGCCCCCAAAGCAGCAGGATCCTGGTCCATTTGGGGTTGCTCCATTTGGGTTGGTCATTTTGGGGTTGGGCTCCCAAAGCAGCAGCATCCTGGCATCCAAGGAGGCTTTTCCAGGCAGCAGCAGGTCTCCTCTGCCCCGGGCCAGGTGTGCAGTGACCTGGAAGCTTCTCCCTGCAGGTGTGAATCCTCTCCCAGCCTTGTGCTGAAAACTCCTGCCTCGTTCACAGCCTCAGTGTGCTCATCAGCTCGTTTGGGTGAGCTCTCAAAGGCTCCTCACATCTGATATTTGAAGGATCCTGCGTGTGAGGCACCTGCTCAGCTGCAGGCAGTGTGAGAAGCACCAATCCATTTGATAATTAAATGTTTGCTGCCACCTAATTGTCCCTTTCTCCGGGAGCCTGTCTCCTGGCGCTCTCCCCGGAGTGCTGAGCTTCAAAGGGAGCTGGGGAAGAATTTCTTTTCTTAAATAAAGCACAGGAGAAATTGAAGATGGAGCCATCTCGAAAACTGTCAGGAACCAGATAAGAAAACCGAGAGAACAGCAAACCCAGCGGGCTAATTATAAACAGGCAAATATAGCAGAAAAGCAGATTGCAGCAGGCTGATAAAGTGACAACAGCAGTGACACTGCCAGAGCTGGCGCTTACCTAGGAGCCCCCGGGCACTGCTAAGCCTGGGCTCGGCTCTAAGCTCAGCTTTGCTCTGCAGATCTGCAAATCTGCCCCCTCGGAGCTGGCAGGACGGGCCAGATCCGCATCCAGGGATCAGCTGCGCTCCTCAGCTCGGCTCCAGCCTGAACCAGAGGAGCCCTGGCCTGGGGAAGGTTTCCAACCACCTGAGTGCCCCCAGCTGGCTTTTCCCTGGATTTGTGGGCATTTCCCTGCTGTGAGCAGTCCCTCAGAGCTGGGGGGGGCGGGTCACAAATGTCTTTTCCACTGCCCAATGAGCAGGACAAGACACCTCTGGTGGTTTCAGCCCTCTCCAGTGAAGGGAAATGGGTTTGGGCATCCAAAAGGAGCAGGATCCTGGTCATTTTGGGGTTAATCCATTTGGGGTGGGCTCATCCTCATCATTTTGGGTTGATCCATTTGGGTTGGGCTCCCAAAGCAGCCGGATCCTGGTCCATTTTGGGTTCATCCCTTTGGGTTGGGCTCATCCTGGTCATTTAGGGTTGGTCATTTTGGGTTGGGCATTTTGGGGTGGTCATTTTGGGTTGGGCATTTTGGGGTGGTCATTTTGGGTTGGGCTCATCCTGGTCATTTTGGGTTCCTCCATTTGGGTCCCCCAAAGGAGCAGGATCCTGCTCATTTTGGGGTTGATCCATCTGGGTTGGGCTCCCAAAAGGAACAGGATTCTGGCCATTTTGGCATTGGTCCATTTGGATTGGGCTCATCCTGGTCATTTTGGGTTGGGCTCATCCTGGCCATTTTGGGGTTGGTTCATCCGGATTGGGCTCTCAAAGGAGCAGGATCCTGGTCCATATTTTGGGTTCATCCATTTGTGTTGGGCTCATCCTGGTCCATTTGGGTTGGTCATTTCAGGTTGGTCCATTTGGGTTGGGCTCATCCTGGTCATTTTGGGTTCATCCATTTGTGTTGGGCTCATCTTGGTCCATTTGGGTTGGTCATTTCAGGTTGGTCCATTTGGGTTGGGCTCATCCTGGTCATTTAGGGTTGGTCATTTTGGGTTGGTCATTTTGGGTTGGTCCATCTGGGTTGGGCTCCCAAAGCAGCAGGATCCTGGTCCATTTTGGGTTCATCCATTTGGGTTGGGCTCATGCTGGTCCATTTGGGTTGGTCATTTCGGGTTGGTCCATTTGGGTTGGGCTCATTCTGCTCATTTTGTGTTGGTCATTTTGGGTTCATCCATTTGGGTTGGGCTCATCCTGGTCATTTTGGCTTGGTCATTTTGGGTTGGTCATTTTGGGTTAGTCATTTTGGGTTCTCCCATTTAGGTTGGGCTCATCTTGCTCCATTTTGGGTTCTCCCATTTGGGTTGGGCTCATCTTGCTCCATTTTGGGTTCATCCATTTGGGTTGGGCTCATTCTGCTCATTTTGTGTTGGTCATTTTGGGTTCTTCCATTTGGGTTGGGCTCATTCTGGTCCATTTTGGGTTCATCCATTTGGGTTGGGCTCATCCTGCTCATTTTGGGTTGATAATTTTGGCCTGGTCCCCCAAAGGAGCAGGATCCTGCTCAGCGGCACCGACAGAGCTCCTGCTGCTGCTCAGGGCCGCGCTCCCAGGAGAATCCCAGGAGGAATTCCAGGGACAAACCAGCTCTCTGCTGGGTCCACGCCTCTCCCTGCTCGTGCTGAGCAGCTCCTGCCTTGCTGGGCTAAAAATACAAACCCAGGAGCTGGAGATGGCTCTGGAAGCACGAGCCAGGGGGTGGGTGTGTGCAGGCAGCTCTATTTTCAGCTTCTCCCACCCTGGAAGGTTCTGTAGTACTTTCAGTTGAACTTTCAGGGTTTTTCTATTTTCTCTTTTCAGTTTTTCAAGCTGCCTCGGGGAAATGTGCAATAAGAGGGGTGGCACTGGGTGATCTTTAAGGTCCCTTCCAACCCAACCCGTTCTGGGATTCTTTGATTCTGTGAATTTCAGCATCCAAACTTGGTGTAGGTTAATTATTAGTGTATTTAATTTTTTTGTTGTAAGACAGGATTAGGAAAAAGGTCAAGTAGGTTTAAAATTTTAAAAGGGTATAAAGAAAATGTTATTAATAGTGATAAAAAAAAAGTAGTAGGAATTAAATTTTTTTTAGAATTTTTAATTTTTTTATTGATAATGTAAAGAAATAAATGTTTTATTTTTAATTAGTTTATTATTTTTAAAATTGATTTTTTTATTTCAGAGTCTGGATTGAGGGGCACTTCCCTGTATGGGATCCACTCCCACTCCTCACCAGTGGCTCTAACAGCACCAAAACCTGATGATTTCCCTGGAGACAACTTTGCAGTTGTTTAATTTGGGAGGATGACTCTCCCACCACTGGTGATGAAGGCTCAGCTGATCTCCTGCACCTCGGGAGACTCTGGAATTGTCCCAATCCTGACAGGGAATCCTGCACAAATGCAGGGGGATCACCACATCTGATATGTTTAAATATCAGATATTTACCAGATATCACCACATCTGATTTTTAAACATCCCACATCTGATTTTTAAACACCCCACATCTGATTTTTAAACATCCCAGATTATTTTTAAACGCCCCTGGGTTCACTCAGCAGTGGAGTTTGAGCTCTGCTGGCTCAGATCCTGCAGAGCAGGGTGTCCCCAGCATGAACCCCTTGGGGAGGGTCCCTGGAAATGGTTTGGCAGGTGGATTCATGGCATAAAAACGGGCTAAAAAATGTCCAAATGAGGCAGCCCCTGTGCCAAGGAATAGCTGACAATCCCGAATTTACTGCTGCAGGTGCAAGCACAAGGCTGCAAAAACCACTTCAGGTCGGGGATTGGGGTCTGGGACTCAAAACTTGAGCATCACCTGCATCGCATCCTTCAAAAATCCCGATTTTGGGAGGAGCCGGTGGGAACAGATCCAAATATTTTGGTTGCAGCAAGACCTTGGGAGGAAGAGAAAACGATTCTGAGTGAAGATTTCCGCAGGAAACAGCAAAAACATCCCCAAATGGAGACCTCGTGCTTTCCTTTCCTTCCTGAGGAGCGATTTGCTGCCCTCTCCTGCTCGAAGGCGGCCGGGAAAGGGCTGGAATTGGGGGAGAAAAGGAAAAAAGGGGGAGAAAATGGGGAAAAGGGGGAGAAAAAGGGAAAGGAAAAAGGGGGAGAAAATAGAAAAGGGAGAGAAAATAGAAAAGGAAAAAGGAAAAAGGGAGAGAAAAGGAAAAAGGGGGAGAAAATGGGAAAAGGGGAGAAAAAGGGAAAAGGGGGAGAAAATGGGGAAAGGGGGAGAAAAACGGGAAAAGGGGAGAAAATGGAAAAGGGGAGAAAATGGAAAAGGGAGAGAAAAGGAAAAAGAAAAAAGGGGGGGAAATGGAAAAGGGAGAGAAAAGGAAAAAGAAAAAAGGGGGGGAAATGGAAAAGGAAGAGAAAAGGAAAAAGGGGGAGAAAATGGGAAAAAGGAGAGAAAAAGGGAAAAGGGGGAGAAAAAGGGAAAGGGGAGAAAAAGGGAAAGGGGAGAAAATGGAAAGGGGGGAGAAAATGGAAAAGGGAGAGAAAAGGAAGAAAGAAAAAGAGGGAGAAAAGGGAAAAGTGGGAGAAAATGGAAAAAGGGGAGAAAAGGAAAAGAGGGGAGAAAAAGGGGGAGAAAATGGGAAAAGGGAGAGAAAAGGAAAATGGAAAATAGGGGAGAAAAAGGGGGAAAGGGGGAGAAAATGGAAAAAGGGGAGAAAAGGAAAAGGAAAGGGAAAAGGAAAAGGGGGGAGAAAAAGGGGGAAAGGGGGAGAAAATGGAAAAAGGAGAGAAAAGGAAAAGGAAAAGGGGAAAGAAAAAGGGGGAAAGGGGAGAAAATGGGGAAAGGGAGAGAAAAGGAAAATGGAAAAGGGAGAGAAAAGAAAAATGGAAAAGGGGGAGAAAAGGAAAATGGGAAAAGGGGGAGAAAAGAAAAATGGAAAAGGGGGAGAAAAGGAAAATAGGGGAGAAAAAGGGTAAAAGGGGCAGAAAATGGAAAAAGGGGGGGAAAGGAAAAGGAAAAGCTGAGAAAAGAAACCTGAAAAGCCAGGCTGGAGCATCTCATTGATTGCAGAGAAGGCAGATAAGGGGCTTTATCTGGGATGTCTCGGTCTGGAAAAGAGAAATTGAAGG